ACCCTAAACCCCTGAACCCTAAACCCTTGAAGTGAAGTGTAGAAGGTTCCCTAAGTCCTAAACCCCTAAACCCTAAACCCTAAACCCTAAACCCCTAAACCCCTAAACCCTAAACCCCTGAACCCTCAACCCTTGAAGTGAAGTGGAGAAGGTTCGTCCACAGAACCATGCACCGAAAGCCCCAAACCACAGGGTTGAGAATGTGTGCAGAGATTTCAGAAATCAAACCTCTCTTAAGTGAGGCTTCCGGGGTGTTGGGGCTTTTGACGTGCCAAAAGCCGCTGTTTTGTTCAGCTGGTTTAAGCCATGTGGAGTTGTTGTTTAGAACACAGACACACACACACACACACAGAGTCAACAAATTTTACACTTCGTGGAGAAAAGTCTTGAGGCAAGCCTAGTTGGACCCTCATGTCACCCAACTCCAACGAAAAAGATGTAATCACATCGAAAAGGCGTTCAGAGGCCCATACCTCCAAGCACAACCTAATTTTCAATGTCAGCAGCTCAGTCATTACCCTGAAACCCTAAGCCCTAAACCCCAAACCCTAAATCCAGCCCTCAGGCTTCGTTAGCTCCCAAGTCTGTTGAAGCGCACGGAGCTCAGCTCTAAAGCCCCAAAGCCCGAAACCCTCTAAGAGTTGAATTCTTAAGGTATCAACTGCCAGGCTGTAGCCAAAAGCAGGCCACGAAACCCCGTGGCGGAGGGAAGGACTGGAATTCGCGAGCTCTTGTGCGAGGGAGACAAGCCTCAATGCGCAAATTCCATCCCTAAACTCGGATTATTAAATTCTACTACTATGAATAGGAATAAGCATTCATCATCATGATAATCGTCATCATCCTGATAATCATCAGCATCGAAATCAGAATCATGACAAGAAGGGTACTTGTATTTCCGTGTTATCGAAGATAGCCCCCAAACTCTAAACCTAAAACCCAAAACCCTAAACCTAAAACCCTAAACCCTAAAGCCTAATCGTCTTTCACAACAAACGCTCTTGGAGTCTCTGGGTTCGGGGTTGGTTCAAGGTTCGAGGCTTGGAAGGGAATAAGGGATTGGATTTTGGGTTTGGGGTTTAGGGTTTAGGGGCTTATATAAAGGGCTTTAGGGTTTTAGGGTTCTCGGCTTAAGGGTTTTAGGGTTTTTGGTGGTTTAGGGGGTTTAGGGGGCGTTTTTGGGTAGGGCCTTTCCGCAAGAGCTGCAGTCGACCGGCGAGGAGAGACTCTTCTGAGTAGGTCCCTACATTTAAAGGAAACTACAGGTGGGGAGTTTAGGGTTTAGGGTTTAGGGTTTAGGGTTTAGGGTTTAGGGTTTAGTTAAAGGAAACTACAGGTGGGGAGTTTAGGGTATATAGACCTTCTATAAGGCTTCTATCTATCAGGTAGGTAGACTTTCTATAAGGCTCCTATAACTGTAACTACCCACCTCAACATGTCCTAGACTGAGTAGGTCCCTACATTGGGATCCTCAGAAAAAGGAAGGGTTTAGGGTTTAGGGTTTAGGGTTTAGGGTTTAGGGTTTAGGGTTTAGGGTTTAGGGTTCCTACATTGGGATCCTCAGAAAAAGGAAGGATGCGAACCCCAGCAAAAGGCTTGGAGTGGGAGCTTGGCTTCCCTGAACCCTACCCATAGGCCCTAAAGTAGTTCCGTTTTGGGCTTACATTATAGGATTCTCTATATGAGCCCCAAAAAGGAACTACTTCAGGGCCTATGGGTAAACCCTAAACCCTAAACCCTGAAGCCTAAAGCCTAAAGCAAACCCGAAGCCCCTGACCCGGGTGGTAGGGACAAGGGTCAGGGATTATATACGTGTGAGGGATGTTGCGCTAGTCAGGGTTTCGAAGTTCGGGCCGAAGCCTGGAAGCCTGAGGTTTAGGGTTTAGGGGTTTGGGCTTAGGGTTTTGGGTTCAGGGTCCAGGGTGTAGGGTTTAGGGCTTAGGGTTTAGGGTTTGGGGTGCAGGGTTTAGGGTTTAGGGTTCAGGATTTAGGGCTTAGGGTCTACGAAAAACTGAGATTCTTTGCACATGAGGCCCACGCGCCCTGAACTCCAAACCTGCTCACGGCCTTGGGGTCTTAGGCTTCGGGTTCCGTTTGAAGCCCGCGATCTCCAAACCATATCCTGCACCGTATCAGAGTTTAGGGTTAGGCCTTAAATTTTTACGGTTTTGGGGACCAGGGTTTAGGGTTTAGGGTTTAGGGGTTTAGGGTTTAGGTTTAGTTTTTGGGGAAACCCAAAAATGCTCGTGACAAGGAACGCTCTCATGGCCATGTCGCCGCAGGTAAGGGTCCAATTCTCCACGACCACGGACATCACCTGGGATCAGGTTTATCATATGGACCCTTTGGGGGGGGTGGGCCGGTAAGGTAAACCCTAAACCCTAAACCGGGGGTTAGGGAACTATATTTCCTTAAATGGACATTCTTAGATCCTTATTACAGGGGGCAGGGAGCGCCTTGGGACATTTGTGATGTAGGGGCCTTTTTTTTAGACTACGGTTTTTGGGGCATATCATATTAGAATTATCAGAAGGACCCCCAGCCCCTCCCCCCCAAAAAAAAGGAAAAGGTAAGGATTTCAGCCCGCTAGAATAGACTCTTCTGGCATAGCATGATCCCTAAACCCAAAGCCCCTAACCCTAAACCGAAATCTCTAAGCCCGACCAGAGTAGTACTCTGGCATAGTGTGGAATATAATATATATATATATATATAGACATACTTACA